AGGAATATAGATGTTTATTACTTTCAGATGATTGTCAGCAAGAGAGATATTATCTTCTTTTCACAGCAGATTGTTGAATAATGGGATGAAACTGAATAATCATTTATCATCTTTTTAAATTGAATTATGTTTTTTTTCATATTGTTGGGTGCCTTGGGATACTACTCTTCATCATAATTTTTCTCATTTTTATTTTTTAAATGTAATGCTCCCAAACAAAACCTTATTGTTCAGGAAGTATAATTTATTACATGGTAAATTTCTATAGAGGAAGAGCAACTGTAATCTTGTTTCTGTTTCTATTAGAGTGAGGAATTAACAGAAAAATCATGTCCTCTGAAGTATGTGAGCTAGTTTTGTGAAGGTATCTATCAGGGCTCTAACATAAAGATTTAATTGTGATTACCACTTAAAATAAAATGTAATTATCTCAATTATATATATCATTGTTTGTTAGAGTTTAGTCTCCAAATTTGATGCAATAAATAGCAAAATTGAAACTTTATCTTCTTTCAAATTCAGTTTTACAGTCACTGTGACCATTTGATACCTCTGGCTCCTGCTTCAACCTGATCACAAATATCAACTATTAGAATAAAAATACACCATCCTTCTTTTTCCTTAGATCATCTTTTTAACATTTCTAGAACAAACAGATTTCAAAATCGTGAACAGTATTGCAGCCTGGTTCTGCTTTAAAAACAACTAATTATTTCCTTTAATGCTATACCAGAAAACCAAAACTGTACACCATATGCATACATCTATCTATTTTAGTTTAAGAGTAAAAAATACGCCTGACAACTGGGAAATGCCTATGCCTATGCCTAGCCATTGGACATGGCTGCAGTTAAGTTGCACGTATAGTTGGGGGTGCTGAAAGCAAAAAATGTGTTTCTCTGTGGTGGAGATTGGTGAAATAATATAGAGAAGGCAAAAATTTGGTTGCATGTTTCAGGGGGCAACTGAGATTTTAGCTGGGGGGCTTTCTGGCTTCTATAACATTGTGCTGGTAGAAAATTTCTGTGTATAGTGTTCACTGGTAGGCTTTGGTTTTTTGAAGGTTTTTTGTTTGTATTTTTGCATACACTTTTTGTCCACCACATGTTATAAACCAGGGGTGGGCAAAATACTGCCTGCAGGCCAAATCTGGCCTGCCAAGCCATTCTATCTGGCCCACGGGGGGCCCTAAAAATTTTAGAAAATTAATATTTATCTGCCTCTGGGTACCTGTCAAAGATGACAAGCCTAGCAGAGGCTTCTGGCCTGGGACCCTGGGACTGTTCTCCTCCTCCCTCCGCCAGAGAGGGAAATTCAGATAAGAAAGTTTGGGGAGCGGGGGAAGGCAGCCTTTACATCAAAGAAATAGTTTTATGCTTTCCTCCTCAAATACACTTTCATGTCATTAAACACATCCAGAAGTCATTCGGTATTTTACTTATAGGTCTATTGTACTTTCAGCACCTTTGCCAACTTTAAGCAGTCTAGAGTCAGTGTATCCATTTGTTTTGGGGAGGGAGGATGTGGTTATTTTTTATGTATATATTTATTTATTTTATTTTACACTTTTAAATTTATGTATGAATATCACCATTCACAGGCCTTCGTCTTGTAATGATCTTTGATAGGGTCAAAATAAAAAGGTGAATAATCTAAGTATATGTCCAGACGGCATCTCTCCCTGAGCAGACACTCAAATCATTTCTACCCTGACTCCTTTACTTGGAAGATGCCCTTTGTAAATTTCTACATATATTTCTAGTAACCACAAGATACCTGCAAGGCCAACACCTCAAACAACCACCTCCAGGAAAGCCAACATCAATGAATTGGGATTGTTTTGGAGCAAGAATACGTTACTCCCAGTCTTCAGACTTACAAATCTGGGGACTTTGAGATCAGCTGGGATGTTGATGGTAGTTGCTAAAGAATGGAAGGGCCTAGCCTCAATCAAAATCAACATCTTATTTTGAGGAAGGAATTCAAGTACTGTCCGTGGAGTGCATACATTCTGACCTTGTCAAGAGGTCCTGTGAATGGTCTACAAGTGTTCAAGTGGATCAATCAGTCCAGGAAATAGAGCATCTTGAAGTATTCCATTTGAGATAGAACAAGGCAAGGAAGTACACTTCTGGCATTAAGATTAACAAAAATTATGCATAATTTAATATAGAACCATTGCATACTGGATTTATCTTCTGTGTGACCTAAACTTTTTTTCTTTCACTTGCCTTATTTAAAAGAACAGATTTAAAGAAATCAAAGGCTTTGCTTTTATTTTATTGAACAAACAAACAGAACTAAGGTTAAACAGTTAAGTGCTGTCTCAAAAATAGAAGACCTTTGCATGGGGAAGTCAGACTTCAAAACTGAGAAGTCTAATTCCAAGGCTTCTGTTTAGGCTTCAGAGAGAAGTCATCAAGTTCTCATCCCTCAGTGTTGAATACTTATTCAAACATTCCATCAAACATGATGGAACAGTCCATCATGCAAAAGTAGGATTTACTATGTGATAATGTTGTAATTATCCTGGGGAAGAATTTTAAATTTTCCATTGCATGTTAAAATGCTTTTTACCTACCTGAGTATCAAAAAAATGCCACTTAGGGGCAGATAGTAATTCTGTTACCTCTGCAGGAATGTATGCATGTGTGTGTGCATGTATGGACTGAGCAAAGACAGTGAGACTATGCACTGGCCTCATGTGTATGTAGCTACATACCTGTGTCAAATCTGGATGCAGACTTGAATTTAAGTCCAGAAAATATAGGCAGCCACAAATCCATGATTAGCATGTTTTAGAGTCTGGAGGAGGAGGATGCTCTCATATTTTAACTTTAATAGTTGAGCAGCTAGAGTACTTACCCAGGAAGCTGAAGACTGGGTTCAAGGCCTCTCTTGCCCAGAGTGGGCTTGAAGCTGCATCTCTCTGACTTCCCATCACTGTGCTCTAACTACCATACCATTACTGAGTTAAGCATTGCTGAGAGCTGCCTACATACCCAACTAGTGGACAACCCTATTGTGCATGCTTAGTCTACATGCACAGACTTATTTAGCTGAGTACAAAGCAAGGAGCAAAAACGTGCAAGTAGACAGCTTGAAAGTTGTATTTTAGACATGCAAATAGAATTCCACTTTTGGTCCTTAACATTAATTTCTTCTCTTCCCTTCCCCCTCCCCGCTTCCTCCGTCTGACAAAATTGTCATCTAGAAATGCTGTCTTTTCACATAGGCAGGCAAGGTTCTTTGGTTAGATGCGATATCTTTTATTAGACTGACTGAATAGTTGAAAAAAAGTTCTTAGCAAGCTTTCGGGCACAGTCACCCTTCGTCAGGCATAGGGAGTTGCTGCTGGTCTGAGATTCCAGGGCTAGGGACAGACATTACACATACACTGGTTTAAGTGATCAGAAACTGGTTTAAACCTGTACCAGAAAAGATGTTCAGTGCACATAAACCAGTTTGAAAATGGCTGAAACTGGTTTGAGAGAAACCTGATTGAATGTATGACAGGTACACGATCTGAGCCGACCTAAACGTGGCCCGCACACCTGTTCCTGGGGCAACCACCCGCCTGCTTCCCTGCCGTGCCTTGTTGTTAATTGATTAATTAGTGTTACTTAGCAGGAGGCTGTCCTTGTACCACCCCGCTGCCAGGGGATGCTATCTGCAGCTCCGTTTCCTCCCCTACACCACAGTCCACACCTCGCCAATGGAATAGATGTTATGTCTCATTCCAATTATGATCTGGTCCCTTTTTGTCCTCTCTGAGCCTCCTCAGTCAAGCCGCCCCCTCTCTGGGGCTCCCCAATAATGCCCCCTCCTCGGGGGCTTCTCGTTAGCCAATAATGCCCCCTCCTCTGGGGCTTCTCGGTAGTGCCGCCCCCTCTCTGTGACCACACAACAATGCCCCCTCCTCTGGGGCTTCTCGGCAACTGCCCCCTCTCTGGGGCTCCCCAGTAGTGCTGCCCTCTTTCCGGGGCTCACCATGCCCGCACTGGGGCTTCTCAGTAACTGCCCCCTTCTGTGGGGCTTTCGCCCACCTCTCAGGGTGCTCCTCAATACTGCTGCCCCCTCTCGGGGCCTTCTCTGTCAAGCCACCCTCTCTGGGCTCAACATGCCTGCACTGGGCTTCTCAATAAGGCCACCCCCTCTCTGGGGCTCACCATGCCCTCACTGGGGCTTCTCAGTACTGCCCCCTCTGGGGATTCTCAACTGCCCTTCTCTAGGGCTGGGGTCTATGCACCCCAAATGCTGCACCCTCACTGGCACTGGGGTCCTCACACTCCTCTGTGAGTCCCCTATGAGGCCTCCTCCATCCCCTAATAGCCTCTCCCAAACCACCGGTCACAAACAACAACATAAACGCAAGCCCTTCGGCTATAACGTAAACAGAAGCCACCCGGCCCTAACAACATTCGGTCCTACCAGTGACCCTTTAACTCTCAGCAATGTTGGATGCTGCTCCTGTATCAGGCTTTTCCTCTCTCCCATGGCAGAGACCTCCTTCCTCTTTGGCAGCTGGCAGGGAACTGCCTCTGGCCCCAGCCCCTAGGATTTATAAGGGACCCAGGCCCTGCCCCTTTTGGTCAGCTGACCTTCCCTGGTTGCCCCGGCAACCCACAGCTGGGCTCCTTATTGCCTGCTAGGGCTTCCTCCCTAGCAGTTTTCCCCTTTGGGAGCAGGGCACCTCAGTGCCCTGTGACAATCAGACTTAACTGATTTGGGTCAGACTGGTTTATGCAACGTCTATCCCAGACCCCTTGCTGATTTAAGATAAACCAGACACCCTCAGCATCCCAGCATGTTCCTGGGCTGGGTGGGGCTCTCTGCTCCACAGCAGGGCTGGCCCCTCCCCTCTGCTCCCTGGCTGCAACTCCCACAAGACTGCTGACTACTCCCCCTCCCCC